CGACAGGCTGCTTGTTAATAAGGCTGATGAATACAGTGAAAGATTTCGAAATTGCTAATACTTTTTTTTCTGCAGAACTGGAGATTATTTACGCAGTCTAAATTACTCACAACACGCAAAAATAAAAATGCGAGGATATTAAGGTTGACTGATAATAATTTTGTTGCATTTGCAGCAAATAGTTACCAAACAACAATAAATCTATAGGAATTGGTTATACTTTTGAGCTGGCTTCACATGCATAGTTCAAGCTTGCCTAACCGATTCTTATACCAAGATTTGGTTACAGCACCTAGACGGTCTGTGGTTACAGCTTTATGTTCCAAGTAATGGCAAAAATTGACATTACAATAAACAATAAGACTGACACTCCCATGCAATTTTGAAGTCACTGATGTAGACAATGGATAACTTGGCATAAAGACTAGGTAGTGCTGAACTAGAGGCTGAAATTATAATTACGTCCGTTGTAATATAATTTGTTAAATTCAATTTCACCTGAAGTCAGATAGAATACACAGGTGAAAGGATGTTTTGGGGGTGCAGTGTATATTGAGGGGTAGGGGTGGGTGTCATATAATTTCCAACTCATGAAGTCACATAGAATTTCACTTAATTTATTTTCGCTGAAAAGTTTTCAGGCATTACGTGTGAACCTAATTTTCACTGTGCTGTGTCAAGTCTGAATAGAGTATAAGGGAAATGACATTTTCAATGGAATTTATGTTAACGGAAAAATGTTTTCAGTGAAAATGAAGTATTCCACAGTACTACTTAAGGGGCGTTTCGGGTCAAAAGGTATATTTGTGTATCATAATGGCAATTGTTAGTTATTTAGTCACATATACAAGTACAAATAATGAAGAAACTAAGAGTTTTAAATGTAACATTTTATTTGTGAGTGGAAAAATAAAAATATTTTATAAGTAATGATTAACACCGACAGTTTGCAAAAAGTTTGTAACTGACAAAATATTGAATAAATATTTCAAATATGACTGAAAGTAAGATTGAGTGAATCTTCTTATGTAAATTCAAGTGAGATACTGCACACAGTATAGTAAAAAATGTATATATTTGAAAGAGGAAATGATAATTTTTTGTTAAAAATTGAAAGAAAATACCACTTATATGTAATGCAGATTTCCCAGTGTGAGTTAAACTGGTTCGACTCTGCCATTAGAAAATAGGGGTGTTTTCGGAAAAAACAAATAACCCTTGAGTGCATACAATACACTAAATTTTGGAACAAATCTTGCATCAGTTACAGCAGCATAATACCACAGAAATATCAGACGAAACATGAAAACACTACATATTGTATTTCAGCCCATTCAGCCCCATATGTACAACCATTGGTATCACCCACCCCTGAAAACTAACTTTTAATACCACGCTGAAGCATTTGGTAATAAATAAATGACATTATTAAGATAATACAAAATAACATCAATACTCAAATCAAATACATCGTCTCTGTGTATCTCTGCTTGATAAATTTCCCACTCTCTTCTGTATTGTAAGTTTAAAATATCGATCAATTAGCGAAACAAACCTAAGATTACTTAGAGTCGAGAATTGTGTGCATTTGTCTGAATCAGCGATGGGCTAATGTCTTGAATAGTTCTGCAACCTGCAATAAAACCATAATACATTATTCATAAAACCATAATACATACTATTATGCATCACTGACGAACAATGCAGGAACGTATCCTTATCTGTTATTCGTGTCTGCTTACGGTGACGAGGGCATTTGCTGTGGCCGTCAGCTTGTTGTTTGTTAAAGCGAGGGAGTCGTCACCTGCGTAGATGGTCATAGCGTGTCATTGTTTACAATCAAGCGTCTACCCATGAGCCTTTGCGTTTCTAGCGTGTGTTGCTATCGTCGTTTGGGACTCAATTCCCCCGCGCACACAGGAGACGACCCTCCCACTTTAATATGTTCGTAATGTCCCTTAAATTTGACATGTTAGTAATCAAAAACAATTCAAATCGTTGTTGAAAATCCGAAACCCAATTTATGGTTTAGATGACGCACAGAGTCATAAAACACTGTATCATATTTGTGTACAGTTTAGTAAGTAAGTATGATAAGAGTTCATATGGTGTAGATTACATACCAATAACACACTTGTTTTGTAACAAACAACAT